GTCTCGCACCTCTCGCCTGTTGAAATCCCTTCCCTATTCCAGTTTCCCTGAGAGCTATAATCTCCAACTATTCAAATGTAATGTCAATCGACATCTCCAGTTGCCTTGATCTATCCACTATCCTTCTCCTCATCCTTTCCTCTATCACCTCTATCTGATCTTGCTCCAAATCTTCTGTAACCCCTTGCATCCTAGTGGCTTCCTGCCTTGCTTGGGGTGAAATGCTTAAATATATATATATATATATATATATATATATATGTAATGACAAAAGTATGCAGGTATAGGCTTTAAGAAAGCTTAATTCTATTGAGAATACAAGGTTCACATATAGTGTACTTTTAAAGTCCCAGTACAAAGAAATATCTCTCGCTCAAGAAGAGAGTAACAAAACAAGGGAGACCACTCTTGATTATTCATAACTATATATATATATATATATATATATATATATATATATATATATATATATATATATAAACTTCAGGTTTGAATTTTAATCAAGGTGTTTCAAAGTTGTTGAACACTACTCTACATTGCCAATTGAAAAAGTTATACTCATTCAATTCATCACCTAACACCCATGACCCAAAAGATATACATAAGAAAATACCATGGAAAGAAAAGTCAATTTTTGGCAGTCTACAAAAAGACTGGAGACTGGATATCCTTAGCAAGATGTTTAGGAATCAAAACATCCACTGCATATAGATGAATAAAAGAAGGTTATAAAGTAGATACAAGAGCATAAGCATTCAAAGATTTCAGAGACCCAGTGACGATTTTTGTTTGAGCAGAACCCATGAATCACCTGTGCTCAGCTTGCAGAAGAAATTCAGGAGAAATACAATCTTTCTGTATCAAGTGAATATGTTTGCCAGTACCTGGATGGCTTAATGTACAGTATCAAAGATACAAGATTTGAATTTGAAATGAGGTATAGTAGCAGCAATAATTTGCCACAAAAGTTGTTTGATTATCAAGCTGACAATTCCCCCATTCTATTTATGGAAGAAATAAATTTCAACCTGCATATTATGAGAACTCAAGGTCAATCATTGAGAGGAGAAAGATGCAGTACATTTTTAGCAGCTTCTAAGGGTGCAAATATTCATCTAATTGGATGCATTGGTACCAATGGGCTATCATGAAATTCATCAAGATTCCTAAAATAAGGAAGTGGCTGGAAATTGGATAAAAGAAATGCTTGCAGAAGGCCTATAAAATCTATCAGGAACCAACAGTTATTGTCACTGACAATCCTTTATGCCACACCAACATTGAAAGAGTTTTACTCAATTCAGAATTTGAGCGCTATCATTTTCTCCAAATGGCACCGTACAGCTCTATGCTTAATCCAATAGAAAAGATTTGGTTGGTTATAAAGGCATGCATCAAAAGTAAATTGGCTGAAAATATGGGTAAGATCCTCAATGCAGAAATTCCATCTTGGACAACAAAAAAGCATTTTCAATTGGACAAATTAGAAGGCATCATTGAAGATTCCTTAAAGGAAATAATGTCAATGCTATGCAATCGAATCATGGCAAAAATTCAAAGAATACTTCCATCAGTATTAAATTTGAATGATGTTGAGTATTAAACTTGTATGGTTATATCAATAAACACTATTCTTGTGTTAAATTTAGGTTTTCTCATTTTGACTTTAGGTTTTCTCATTTTGACTTTAGATTTTCTCATTTTGACTTTGAAATTTCTCATTTTGAGTTTGGAAATTCACATTTTGAACTTGTAATGATATAGATTGGCAGCAAGGTCTCATTAATTTACAGTTGAATTGGCTGATGCAACTGTAAGTTCTATGCTAACAGTTTCTTCTTTCGCACTTCTCACTTGTGGAGCTCTCTTCTGGCTCCATGTTTTCCAACCAACATTGATCTTCACAAATTTAATTTGCAATGTCAGTTGTTAGTTACTGTCTTCTTGATTACTTTTCTTTTATTGTTCTTACTCTTTAATAATGTTTCTCTTTTTTCTTCTTATCTCACTCTCAGTATCCACTTATGTCTTAATGGCTTTATTACCTTGCTTGGAGTGAAATGATTTAAGTAAGACAAAATGGAAAAAAAAACAAACAATAAAGACATTTTTGAACACTCTCAATTTTCTTCTTTTGTATAAATTTTCTAATCCATGACAGGTTAGATTTAAAATATCTTCCAGAAAGTTCTCATCTATTTTATTTTCAAAATGAAAGCAAGCTTTTGTTTTATTCTTTCTTTGTTCTTTGTTTTGCTGATTGAAATATTTTTTTTTTTCTGTTACAGCCGGTCACTGCTCTTTCCTACAAAAGAGCTTTTCATTCAAAAATGTTTAGGCATCCATATGTATTTCAAAGAAAAATTATATATATGTAGAATCTTTTCATCATAAAATTATTTTTGGTTTTATGTATATTTGAGTCTTTGGTATGTTTGTGAATACTTTCTAAAGTTTATCCAACATGTGTTGTCATGAACATAATTTGAACTAGTATCTTAATCTTTGTTGTTTTTAATAATGTTTCAATCAGGGTGTTCTGTGGCCTGCCTCAGTCTTAAGCCTGAAATGTTAACATGAAGTAAAGAAATTTGCAACTATCCTTGTGGTCATCAAACAGTTGTTACAAAGTTAGAGGTTGTGTGTTGAAGAAAAATTAAGTGTTGATTTAAATAAATAATTTATTAATCTGATTTTTTCTTGTCTTTCTTATTAAAAATGTTACAAAGACTTTTCCAAGAGAGTTAATTTTAATAATGTTTTGTTATGTTTAATTTTTAACAGACTTTTCATTGCAAAGATTTTTTCTTTGATTTTGTTTTTACATTGTAAAACCTATTTAAAAATGCTATTATTTATTAAATAAAGTTAATTTAATATTTTTCTTTATGATATTGTTATTCATAACAACAAATATATTCATGATAAAATTTAATTCTTTAGGAGTAATTTGTGTTTTTCTTTATAAAAGGTATTTTAAAATAGGATGTTGAATTTTAGTTTAGTTTACCATTAAAAAATATAAAATAGGAGCAAACTTGATATTTTAAAATATAAAATTTATAAACATTTTTTATTACGAACATTATGTAAAGTTAATCTCATTAATTAAATTCAATAAATTTAATGCAATATTGTTAGATATTGTAAATGAGGTGTACAAAAAGCTAAACCTAACCCTGCTGCTAAACTATGCCCTTTTAAGAGTGATTTTTTCTACTTCTGTTATCATAAGAAATTATATTTATGACAACATAATAATAGTTACTTTCATGTTTATATTGTTTCATGTCATATCTTTATTCCAGAATTCATAGTTCTAATATGGTTTTTGTTTCATTGAAACAGTTTTAACACAGATAATTAATTCAAAGATTAAAATGCATATAAAATTTTGTACACTTTGTTAATGGGATGGGAAGTGTTGGATCTGAAACTCAGCCAAATTATATATTAATTGTAATAAAACCTTAACAAAGAAGGAATTTACCAAAATAAAGGGAATTAACTTTTTGAGCCAAATTAATTATGTTCTTAATCTCTACATTTTTTTAAAAATTTGACTATAGCAGCAAACTACTCCAAATCCAAACTGAAAATAAAATTCTTTGCTCCGAGTGGAAAAACAGGATTTGATATAGGCCTCCAGTTCTGAACATGAGTTACATTATGACTTGGCCTTAAGTAAAGAATGCTATGAATTTTGTGAGAATGAAATTTATTGCTCATATGTAGGTAGTAATGTGAGATGTAAAAATGTCATGTTTAATGAGAGCGAGCAAGAAATGTTCTTAACTTACCCATCACATATTGAGTTAGTTTGTCAGCATCAGATGTGTAGCTCTGTGAGTATAATGTTAATGGTTAAATCAAGAAATTAAAAACAAGTATTAAACAAAAGAATCAGTGCATATGGTAGGCTATGCAGATCTCCTTATTAGGCCAAACATAGGAATAAATAAGATATGGGAGCCATTAATAAAGCAAGAAAGAGAAGTGACAGCAAGGCTTTAATAGTGGGAAACCTCAGTGAGTGCAGTCAAGTATGACATCATCACTTATCTGCAAACAGGTTAAGTTTAAGGGTTCAGGTTCTCCACTTAGAATTGTCTCATAAGTGTTGGTTCATAAATTTGGTGACATAGTAATTGCGAGACATGCTATAGTTATTGTGCATAATTTTGATAAAATAAATAGTTATTAACTAATCTCATTGATAATTATAAAATGAAATGCATGAAAGTTGTTTCTGTAGAAGACAAGAATTATTTATCAATTGATTGAGATTACTTGAGTCAGTAGATGTTAACATCACTTCCAAAACTGGAGTGAAATATCAAGGGAGCTTGTTGAAAACATTTATACATCATGAAGAGGACACAACTCAAATTGTTGTAGACAATGTAGAAAGCAGAAAAGAAAACCATCTTCACATCTCAGCAGCAAATGTGGAAAGAGAAGAAGAGTAGAAAGTTATGGCTTAGTTCACTTCCGTTTAGATATCAAATTTGTGACCTTATTTTGGCAGCAAAAATTTTTTTAATGATTATTATTTCAAGAAGTCAAAGTGACCTGGTGGGTATAACACTAATATTGTCATTTTGGTTAATTTTAGGGGCATTAATGTTGAACATTATCTTACCCAGTCACTGCCCATGTCAAGCAGGGGAATGTGTAGCCTTCCTGAAAATCATTTACACCCTCTCCACTGTGATGTGAACTTAATTTAGTGTGCTAATTTTTGCAACATAAGCCATTCATCAAAGACATTCCAATGTTTGGTATTATTTCACTTTCTATTGTGCATATTGGTCAAGAAAAAATCTTTTATTATAAATGATAAAAAAGAGAATTTTTTCTTTTTTATTTTTGACTTTTTTTTTTTGGGGGGACCAGTCACTGTTACTGCAAAGTTAGAGATCCCATAAATGCACTGGCATAAAAACTTTTATTCTCTGCCTTCTGATATAAAGGCCAGTCCTCCAACTCAGAACACTGCAATGGGCCAGCTCAGTCATTTATTACCAGAGAAAACAATATCTGAAAAAGTCTTGTGATCTCAAACAGTGGAAATGTGTTTACCAAAAACAACAGACATAATTCTGTTTGTCAGATGAAACAGAAAAAATATACAAGTTTTTTTCATTCAGTAATAAAATTCATTCAGTAATAAAATTCATTCAGTAATAAAATTAGTATCATACTAGTTTTAACCTGTGAAGATTTCATGGTTTTCTTATTTTAATATTCTGATGAATCTTAATTCTTAATTAAATGTTTGAGTAAACTCATGGTGAGTTCTATGACAATAAAATATCTGTAGAAATTCCTCTATAACATCATTAATTATTTGAGCTTAACAACTTTAACAAAATTTTGCAATAACAATCATAAATATGAATTCTGGTTGTTATTTTAAGAAGTGGATACAAATGAGAAGATCTGAAATTGACAACTTTTCCATTTCATTCAAACAACCATTAAACACTTCTATCTTCCCTTCTTTCTTTCTTTCTTTCTTTCTTTCTTTCTTTCTTTCACTGAAACCAAGTTGTGTCTTTCCCCTCTTTCCATGCAATCAAAACGGAATAGTCTATTGGCAGGACATAACGGTCATGCAAACTAATGAAGGGAGGGACAAGCACAATTATAATAGAATACTTTAGTCCTTCTAATCTATATATTTTGTGATGTCAGTGAACACTCGCTGCCACTTTTGTAATGTCAACAAATACTCGTCGTTACTTTTGTAATGCTCATTGTAGTAGAGACTTTATAATCGCAGATACAACTATAGTATGCCATTGAACAATACTGGTGTCAGATGCCTTTGAATAACACTTGCACTAATAGTACTTGCTCACTAATACTCGCTTGAATAGTAATCTGTATAGTGATCAGTATAGAGAAATAGTATAGTGAATAGTATAGAGAATAGCAGTCCATATAGTAATATTCTATTCTATCCTTAATAGAAAGAGTGATCAATTAGACACCATGCTAATTCCCATATATATATTTCCTTTACTATCATGTGATCTAATTATTCAAACCACCTGTGTTTGCTCTCTGGTGATCTGTGTTCAAACTCCAGTGTCGGTAGTGACACTTTATTCCTATATAACAATATATAAAATTCTGTGACTTCCATTAGTCTGTCCATCTGTCCATCCTTCTAAAATAACCATACATTGACCAATCGAAACCAAATTTTGGGGAGAAGTGCAAGGGGTACAATATGGCTTTACTAGGGTGCATGGCTTAGTACAATAAATTTTAATTCATTTTTTTTGGAAAAAATAAAGTTTTATTATTTAACATACAAAATACTTCCACTATTTTGAAAAAATTTTAATTATTAAAATAACAAATACTTATTCAATAAAAATATTTTTGCATATTTTTTCTTTAGGTTTTTATATACAAGAATCCAGTCTCTAGTTCACCCTGAATTTGCAAGAACTATAAACAAATTGGAAGGCCAAATACTTCAAAAATTTGTAATTTGGCTCCAGAAAGAAATATTTACACGTGGCCAGTTATATGTAGCATGCTCAGTGTTGATTCTATTAATATATTAATGACTTTATTCAGTGAAGAGTAATAATTCCACATTTGTTTAATAATAAGGATTCAAGAGAACTTTCAAGCAATAAACAAAATTCATCTGTGCATTGAACATCATTACCATATCTGGTCTAGTGTTCCTATTATATATATATATCAAGATTCTTGACAAAATCCAAAGAAGGGTCTATGATGTAATCAATCTTGACCTCAACTTCAGCCACTTTCCCATCACTGTAACATGGCTTCCACAGTTGTTTTTATAAATATTTTCATGGCCATTTTTCTGATGCGCTTTTCTCTTTGGTCCCTTGACTTCATAAATTTAAATGTTCTACTAGATTGGCAACTAGGTTTCACTATTTTACTCTTGAACTAGCTAGATCTAAATGTAAGTTCTGTTCTAATAGTTTCTTTTCTCACACTTCTCACCTATGAAATTCACTTCTGGTTTCTTGCTTACCTGCAATCTACAAATTTCAAAAATTTAAATGCTAAATTTAACTTGTATTCTTGTTGGTGAGACAGAGTTCATAGCTTGTAAGATGTTGGAACAGAGAGAAATAGAGTGACCTTTCCTTCTTTGTGGCAGGCAGCTGTCCAGATAAGTTTTTTGGTAGGGTAGAGCCTGTCCTGATTTCTGATGAAAGGCTAGAAAAGACTGACCTCAAGGCCCTGTTTTTCCTGGGTTTATATTGAGGTCAGTAAGTGTTTGGGAAGTGCAAAAGGGATAGCCTTTTGCTTTGGTACTGGGTCTTTGATCTTCTATTTTATGCTTATGCAATATGCGGTTTCAAAAACAAAGTTAGCTGGTTAACTTGTCCTTAAAAGTGCTGGTGTTATTTATTAAACTTTGCATACTGCTACAGTGTCAAATAAAACTGAAATAATTATAATAAAATTTTTCACTTTTTTTAACAATTTCTTGTAAAAATTGATAACTTATTACTTTCCTTTAATAATAGCAATTTTGCAATAATTTTTCTAATCTACAACATAAACATAATGATTATGATCAATCTTACTCTGGTTTCTGTTTTGAAGTTTTCTATTGTATGCTCATAAATGGTAATAGTAATATTAGCCATTTTCTTATAAGGAATTATCTGGCATTTATTGATCAAGTAGCCAGTACTATTTTCAAGTGAAATTTATAAAGTCTTACTCTTAAAACAATTTTTTAAGAAAATAGGTTTCTCTATGAAGGATTTGTGGAGATTATCTTCTCACAGTGTCCATTATCTCCATATTTAGTTTATTTTGGTTTGGGTGTATATTGGCCTTGTGTAATGCTTAAAAGATAATGGATAAAGTGTTGATAAATACAAAATAAATTTTTATATAACACAATATAATAATACACAGGGATAAGTTGAAAGCTGAAGTTTCAAGAGTTCAAGTGTAAAAGTGTTGGTGCATATGAAAGTGTGCGAAAGAGAGAGAGGGAGAGAGAGAAAGAAAGCATCTAGGAGGAAGTAAATATGTATCCAAATGTAGTAGCTGCCTGCTGCTTAATTATATATATTTTCAATCTAGCAGTAAGGTTTAGCTATCTCAAATTGTCAGTTGGTCACATTTTGGCTCTGGTTATGTTATGATGACTGCATTATCAGAGAATGGAAAAACTTTCTGATTGGTTGGATTTGTGGCCTGGCAATTTGTAATATACATTTATTTTTAATGGTGAAATTTTAGTCTCCTTGTTATTATTTGTTTATTTCTTTTCTTATATCCTGGTTGTGAAAGCAATCTGATTGGGTGGTCAAAATATGGCTTTGTGGCTTGGCAATTCTGATTATCCATCTACTTTTAGAACCAGGGTAATTTTGGTTTTCTTGTTAGTGTTTATTTATTTATTTCTCTATTGCTATATCCAGTAACTGTTATTGCTCTTTGCAGTAATGATGGTAGTTTCCTTCCTAATTTTTTATTTGAAGTAATGTAGAGAATCGACATCTTTATTATGTCATTATTCTCATTTAAAGTTATATGCAATAACCATTTTAGCTGTTACTGCTGTTGGAAGTCTTCAAGTGATGTGGTTTCTGTTATGTGGTACAATCCTTTGTTTGTAATTCTGCAGCACCAGTTCACAAGGTTCAAAGAAGTATGGTTCTCACTAAAAGCTGCTGGCTTCTTTTGCTCAAAGAACATTTTTTAATCATTGATCTAAGAAAGTTGTTGCTTACAGTTGACAATTTAAATATTTTTTAACAAGATTGGTACTATGCATAACATCCATATGAGTGTCTTGATCTGATGAAGCTATTTAAGAACATGACTTGAGAATTTAGGTTAATGTTTTGGTTTTTTAACAACTTGTTTTGTTGAGTGAAACTGCTCCTAGTGCAACCTATACTATGTTCAATTTCCTTATCTCCTAAGCTAAATTTGTTATAACTGATCCATACAGTGAAGTGTTTGGTATTCTTTAAAATCACATACTGAATGTTAATGATGCATTCAGGGTACATGCCATCACTGTTTTCATTCCAATTCCAGCTCATAATTTTTGTGGTAATGTTTAACCTTCGTGACCACAAAAAAAGCAGTTATTCCCTTGACACCATTATTACTGTATACACTTTTGACTCCCTCAGCAATGTTTATTTACACTATTATAAAAATATGTGACATTATTTAACTTTTATAATGATTTATTATTTACTATTTTAAAAAGAAATAAACTTGCAAAGAAATAGTTTTATGCAAAAATTTACAAAAATTTATCAATATATGTAAGAGGAAGAGATGCTCTCAATCTATTTTAGCGAATTTATATAAGTGCAAATTAAAGAGAAAATGTATTTTTTTTTAATTTAAAATTACAGTTATTCATTATTATATGTTTATTTAAATTTTCTTGTTCACAGACATTTTTATAAATTTATGAATAATTTCTTTTTATATTTATTTTTTTATAAAATGATAAATAATGAATATTTCTTATTATTTCATTATAGTTGGTTCACATATTTCTATGTTTTGAATATAAAATTATTCTTGTAAATAAGCAATCTAATAAAAAGTGTTTAATATCTTTGTTGTCAGTGTTCAAAAATAAAGAAAATGTATAAATCCACTTTCTTTGTGTGGTTTTTATTAAAATTTTAATCATCGCTTCTTAAAACAGAAGACATTGCCGAGGGAGTCAAAAGTATATACAGTAATAGCGGTGTCAAGAGAATAATCGTCCTTTTGACACACCGTTTAAGGTTAAACACTGCCGTTTCTGTTTTGGAAAGGTACTATATTTTGATTCCTAATTTCTTGGAACACTTGGTAGAGGATGGTGATTTTCTAGCTGCTCTTTGGAAATGTATTTTTTAAAAAAAGCCTCAATTCCATTTTTATATATTCTATAAATAGTTTGTATAATCTAATTAACAAAAAGATAATTATTTGAAATATTAAATAATTATACACACTTTTAATGACAAGACATCGTATCGGTTCCCTTTTTCTGTTCCTATTTTTACTAACTATCAAAACAGAGTTTTAACAAAATTAGAAATCTAAGATACGAAATAAATATAGATTTCATTTATTTAGTTATTCTACTCGAATTCTATCAAGCAATTCGAAGGTTTACTTATTTCATATATAAAACTATCTAAGTTTCAATAACATTTTTTTTTTAAATGAATGCATGGTCAAATTTATAACAATTTCGTTTCATTTTTTTAATTAATAGGCCTTGGATTCTAAACGGTGTCGACCAGCGGTCAGGTAGGAAAATATTTCTTCACTCGAGATATTTATTTTTGACTTAAGTGTTGAATTTTTTCATCTAATCGGTCATTAGTAATATTTAAAACTTTTGACAGCATTATTGGCTTCTTAAAGTCATAGCACGTAAGTACTTTCGTATGAACTGCATATATGTGTTTTTCTAACATCAAAAATCGTTTCAACAGTTTAAAAATGGCGTGTTTGGTTACATAGCAACTTCAGATTTTTGTGAAGTGTACGAAGACAAAAAAGATAAATAGCATCTAAAGTTGCTTTTTAATTTGTAAAAAGTTGTCATTTATTTTGCGTGGGAGTATAGGTGGTAACTAAAGCAATAGTCTCTTTGCTAAAATAAAAATCAGTCATAGTCTCCATACACAATATTTGAGACAATTTTTGAATTTTCGGTATGTAATTTAATGTTTAAATAAAAGTCGAATCATGCATATTTTTTTTTTTTTTTTGTATTATTAAATTATTACTCAACCGGCATGATTTCATACGGTGTAATTGAGAAAATAATTCACCGTTTAAATTTAGCCAGTCGCGGCTTTTAAAAAAAAAAATCTGTTATTTCAGTTTTACTTTCAGAGTGATTTTCCAAGAGTGGCTTAGACGTAGCACAAGGCCGAAAGTAGGAAGCACCCAGTGAGAATCGAACTCACTACTCACAAGATTGCTAACCATTGCACCGCCTTTACTTTTTTTAGAGAAAAAAACGTGTTGTTTTTTTGTTTTGTTTTTTTTTTTTCAAATTTTGTCGTATTGTGTTTTTTTAAAAGCAATTCAAAGTCACTTTCTGCTATATTTGAACTGCCTAAAAAAAAAGGCGCATGAAATTAAAAATTGTGTTTTTTAAAAAATGGAAGTTAACGTAACCGTTTCGGTTTAAGGAAGTAGTTGAACTTTGAAAACGCATTTGAATAAACATAATTTTTATTTCTTCAAACCATGAGGAGCTTTAAAATCAATAAAGCTGCTTTATTAATTTGAAGTTAAAAAATGAAATTTAATTTTTTAAAAACAATTTTTTGTACATCTAGAAATTTTGCAAGAAAAGCTGTTAAATTAAAAATAAGTTAAGAAGTATAACTTTTTTTAACAATTGTTTTATGAAATAAATTTTCAAGAATTGATGTACATAAATTCTGAAATTTTATTTCATAAAATTGGTAAAAAAAATCATTTCTTTTTAATTTTAGCAGTTAATAATAATAAAAAAAAAAAGGTGACGTTAAAAAATAACTGACAAATTATGAAGTGATTAAAATAAGAGGCGTGAAGAAGCAACTATTATTTTGAGAAGTGTCATTATAATTCCAATACAGTTGTTCAGACTATTGAACTCGCTCGTTGCATTACATATGTTATTACAATGTTTCAGCTGGTTAATTCAACAGCTTTCTTAGTGCATAGACCTTAAGGAAAAAAAAACAGTTCTTGTAGGTCCTCGTTTTTCTTTTTCTTTTTCTAAAGAAATATATAATAAACTGAAAATAGTGGTTTTTAACTGACTGATTCAGTTAAATTAACTTAAATTCCTGTTTAAGATTTTTAAGCTTTTTTGCTTAAAAAAAACAATTCTGATATCAACACTGGTTTGACTTATGTCTGATAAAAATGTATGCCACTTCAATTTATTTATTTTTTTTTAACTCCCCAGCAATGTTTCTTATCTGTTATTTGGACCTCATCCGAGAGAGGGTAATGTGTATGTTTCTCTCTTGAGATATTGTCCACCATATCAAGTTTTTCTACCTCCTTTTTGGATATGGCTTGCTTATATTCCTTGAGGTTGACTTTAAGGAGTTTATCCTTTATATTCTTTGCATGGGATGTTGTGTATGCAATTTATCATCTATGGATCAAGTCAGAATGTTAACCATAATTTTCTGTTCACCATCTATTTCTGTAAAAAGCAAAAGTAACCCCACTCTCATTTTTGACAGATTGTAAATTTGACTCGGGATCAGCCAAAACATTGTGCTGTCAACATAAGTAACTTAAAGAATGAGTCTGAAAAATTCATGGAATGTATGAAGCCTATTTCAATGAACTCCTGCAATACATTTTTTTTTTTTTTAATGATTGTTTTTGGCTTCTGAGAGTAAGAAAATCAGTCAACAAGCCTCTTCTATTTGTTGATTTTTGTGATTCAGTTCTTGAATGTGAAAAGAGGAAGATCTGATATTGAATTATGCTCAAGTTTGTCAAATCTCCTTACATTTCAATAATTCTGGAGAATTTTAAAATATTTTCATGTCTGAATAGATTTCATTTCAGCCCCCCCACACACACACACACATGCTCACACTTGAATGTGATCATTTATTAATCAGAAATAATGTGATTTTTTTTTTTTTAAATAAGGAAACTATAAAAATCAGACATGAAAAAATTAATTTTAAACTATTAGAGTACTCTATAATTAAACACAAAGCAAACCTTGAATAACTTTTCATCTTCTCCCCCAATATCAGTCAGTTATGTGCTATGTATGAGACACGCTTAGGCAATCATGTATCTTTTGATACATGACTGATGAGGCCATTTCTTTCTGCGGTAGACCAGTTGCTATAGAACCTGGTCTGTCCTGCTATTTGCCCATAGCTGGAGGGAGAAGAGGATTCATACCTTTCCCAAGGGTATTAGCACATAAATAAATGTAATGGATTTAACTGGAATTTGAACTTGGCTCTCCGATTCCTCAATCCAAGCTGCTATCTGTTACTCCACGGTGCCTCCCCCAATATATATAATAAAAAATATATAAATATTGGGTTGGAAAAAATTTGTAGAATTCTTTTAAGTGAATTTCAAAGACAGTATTTAGATATTTGTACATAAACTTATTCAACCACTTGTATGCTGTTTTTTACCACTACCTTTCATTCTACATAAGAAAGATGCAAAAATTGATAGTAGAAGAGGACTATATATAAGTAGGCTTGCCATGAATGCCAGTTTAGTCAGGTTGTCTCAATTTGAGAGGCCTGTCCCAGTAATATAGGCTATTAGTGTTTATTTATTTTCTTTTCTTCAACCCTGAAGCACTTTATTATACAAGAAATTAATAATAAAAATAGAAAAAAATAAAAACTGTCCTGATTTGAAGCTTGGAAATTATGGTAAGTGTATGCATAAGAGTAGATTTTATTGGCAAACTATTATTTTTCATATCTGATCTATTCTGTTTGCAAATATGTTTTCTGTTATTACAACATAGTGAGAGGTGTTATCCTATATACTGGGTTTGGAACAAAAGTGCATAGCATTTTTAAGTGAATTTCATAGACAATATTTAGACATTTGTACATAGATTTATTCAGCCACATATCAATCACATAAGATGTCATCTTTTCGCTTACCTAATTTTGGATGCTTTTCCTTGATTACTGTCTTTTAATTGGTATATAAAGTGTTTGTAATACACAGTATCACCTTCGGATGCAGACTGATTTTTGGAGTGTTTGTTTCTCCACATTATTGTAAATAATCCATTTTTCATCACCTATAATTGTTGTTTTCAAACACGAATCATTTTTGTTGCATTTTAGTAAAGTATCTGATCAAAATATAGTCCATTAAATTTTTCCATTAAACATGAGTCACTCAAACATTGTAATGACTCACATATCAAAATGTTTTCAAATGTTTACAATGCTCATATGTGGCATGCAAAGTATTTTTGTGATATCCTGTCTCATGTGACTTAGATTAAGCATTTAAATTTTGTCATTATCAACAACTGCAGGCTTGCTGGAGGGTTCTTGGTCTTTCAGATCAAAATTTCCATTTATGAACTGTGCTCTCATCTATGACAGCATCTCCATAAAAGGCATATATTTTTTCACTGCTTTTCTTCCTGGAAATAAAAGAGCATAAAATGATGAAAATTTATCTCATTTCTCTCCATTTTCACTTTTAATGTAAAACATTTAAATTTCACAATTCACACTCGAATCTTGTAGAAAGATATTGAAATGTCACTTTACAGATGATGTATGTCATAAATTTTGGACATAGGTAAAATGCAATCTACTGAAAAATTAACTTTTGTTCTAACCTAATATATAGAATCAAATTTTATCTTTTGTAAACTGTTTTCTTTAAATTGTGCTTTAAAATACATCCAAATAATTTAGTTAATTAAAAATAGTGTAAAATTTCCATCAGAAAATCTTGAATGTGTTAAAGTTTGAGAATCAACAGATTTATTATAAATTTAGTTTTTGTCTGAGGTCTAAGCTGGAAAAATGACATACATAATAACATTGGATGTGCTTTTTGTTAAAGAAACTATTTTATTTCTATATTCTGGCCATTTACAGTTCATTTTTTTTCAGTTTCTTTATTTAAATTGAGAAATTTTAAGCTTTGAAAAAAAACTAATTTTTGCTGACATGAAATAAATATTCCAACAGAAACTGCTCATATGGTGTTAAATATTTAGACATATCCAGGTTTCTTTTTTTTGTTGTTTTGTCTTTTTTATATTCAAGTTTCAAGTCTTGTTGAAAAGTGCTGCTCCTCACTACCAAACTTTGGACAGAGTTTTGCAAATTAAAATTAATCCAAACATTTTGATGTGCAGAATCAGCCACACACACACACACACACTGAGTTTTGGGCACTTTCAGTAGAGTAATGTTTAATGAACTAGTTTCACTGACCAGTCCTCGTCAGTTTTATCCTCATTAGGTTGCTCTCTTTTATAGCCTTGTGCCAGATTAAGCTAGGTTTAATAGATACATATGTTTTATTTGTACACAAACAAAAATGCCAACCAATAGATCCATTTTTTAAATTTTTTGATAGGGTAGGGGCCAGTTAATTAAAGGTTTATGCAAAAATAACACTGTATTTGTGTTTATAATTGATTTTTGAAAGAGCTTCATATTCACTAGTTAAGTGGATTGAAAGCAGCTGTCATTTGGATTGTCATTCAAATGAATAGATGAACTTTAAAGATGTTTTGCTAATCTAGAAGAGAATTT